TTTAAACAAGATTCCATGTCATCAGAATACTTACAAGTCTCTCGTTCAGAAGAGGTTTTTGTGACCTGCTCAGGGACCCCGTGAGGGCTGGCTGGCTGGCTCTGTCCCCTTCAGAGCCCAAGAAGTGCTCATCTGCGTCAGAGCACGTGGCCCCTGCACAGAGGGCTGCTTCCGAGCTCAGGGCTGTGCTGCTCCACTTGCCAGTATCCATTAAGAAAACTGGGAACAAACCTGGAGGCCCACCCTCGGAGCCCACACCTCCCACCCCCCGCCTGGACCGGGTGCAGCAGCCCAGGCCTCGGGGCCTCCTCTAGAGCCAGGCTTCCCTGTAGAAGAGCCTTCTTAGCTGCTCAGTGTGACTATTTTAAATAGTTTGCTGGTGGAAAACGTCTGCTAACACTTGCTACATACCATGTTTTAATTGCTGTACAGTTAGCCTTTGATCTTATGTAGTAAAGTGTATCAAATTAGGACTTTTTGAATTGTAAATATATGGTTTTATTAAATAAAACTCATGTAAAATTGTTACTTATATTCCCTGTAGTCGGGTTTAAAATTGAAGTTCTCACCGTAAAGTATGGCAAATATTTGACTTGGAGTGTTATGCTGTTCCAGTATTTCAAACCACTTAAAAGGATCGCTGAGATCAAAAGGATGGTGCTGTTGGGGTAATTTGGTTAAGGGGTTCAGGAGTTTAGTGCGCCCCTTCCAAGCTGAAGGGGAGCCCTGGACTGGCTGACCCCTCATACTTGACTCTGCCCCCAGCTGTAGCATTTCCCACTCACCTGCCACTCACCTGCCCCCACTCCTGAGCCTGCGCCCCGCCCGTCAGGTCCCCGCTTCCTCAGAAACTGCTTGGAGCTGGTCAGCCAGGTGCTGCCGTCCAGCCCCCACCCCCTGCCTTCCCCTCCCCCTGAACCCCCCCATCAGCGGGCGCCCTGGGCTCTCCCCTGGGCTAGTGTGGGCCCCGGTTCCTGTCTGTGGAGCGGACATCATTAATACTGCCCTTTAAGGGGTGGCTGAAGCGACCCTCAGGGTCACCAGACAGTGGGAGTAATCCTGTGGGTCACACGGGGGAGCCTGGGGGGTGCCTGTCAGGCCAGAACAGGAGGCCCAGGAGGGAGCCCTGAGGGCTGCGCTCTCTTGTGTTTGTCCCCTGTGACTGTCCCAGATGCTGCCACCCCCTGTCCACCCCTCACATCCCCTCAGCCTCCATGCCTGTCCTGGGAATATGTCCCCTGGGCCCGCCTCCCCACCCATCCTCAGGGAGACTGGGACCAGCAGCTCTGGGGCATCCACTCCGATATCTTTGGCCCCACATGGCGCCCAGCAGCCCCACCTTGCCCACCAGTGACCTGCTTCACTCCCTGGCCGCCGCTGTTTCTCTTCTCCACAGGCTGCGTGCGAGGTGAGCGATGGACGGGTGGTCACGGTTGTTAACGCAAAAACCATTGAAACCTGTAAAGAATTTTTGTGAGTTTATTTGAGCCAAACTGTGGACATATGCCGGGAAGCAGAACCTCAACGAATTGAGATAATGCTCCGGAGAATGGCGGGGTTACATTTGTATGTATACATTTGCAATCAAAGGAGGGACATAGGTGGGTTACATGAAATTCACTGGTGATAGATTAAGGAGGAGGGATAAAGCAAAGCAGGGAAACCCCTGGGATTGGATAAAAAGTAAAATGATGGACACATACTTAGGTGGGTGCAGGATCAATTAACATGATGAAGGAATTTGTGGTATCTGTCCTGGCGCCCAGCACATTTGGTTGTGCCCCAGAGGCTCCAGATAAAGGGAAGTCACAAGTTACCCAGACATTTCAAGGGTATGTTCTCATAGATGCAAAAAGACAGGCTCAGTTAAGGTAAAGGTTGACCTTGTCAGTGAAGATACTGGCCTAGGACGTAACTGCCCACCATGACTGCTTTTAGTTAAAGTTTAATTTCAGACCATCCTTTGTGGTGACTTTAGGTCTCCGAGTTTGCAAGTCTGCCATGCAGGCCTCCCCTGAGCTGTCAGGTCAGCACGTGGCCCCTTTGGTCCACACGGTGGGGTCACAGCGCTGGCTGTCCACCCCTGTATTAAGTGCTCTGTGGCCTCATGTCTCTCCAGCTGCTCTGTGATTGTGCCCATTTCACAGGTGTGACAAGTGATCTGCCGGGGCTCCCGCAGCCAGTGCGTGGCAGGGCTGGGTTCCCCCTGGTCTGTGGCTCCCAGCCCCTGTGCAGACACACCCTCCCAGAGAGCCCGCTTGCCCCCAGGCCTGGGCAGCCTGCCTCCTCGGCTCCATGCTCCACAGGCAGGGTTTGGGGTGAGGCCTGGAGTCACTTGCTCCCCAGAGCCCCTCCTGTGTGGGAGGCACCAGGCCTGGAGAAGCAGGCCAGGCTGGCCCAGGCCAGCTCCTGGGCACCGGCCTCAGGGTCTTGCAGGAGCAGTGGGGGTAGAAGGCGAATGTTTTTCTAATTGAAACTGAGGGGAGGAGCTGCAAGTTCAAAAGCCAGCACCTGAAGCGTGGGAGCCTGCCATGAAGGCAGGTTGGAGGACACTGCAGCAGGTGGGCGGAGAGGCAAGGTGACACCAAGGTGGACTAGAGATGAGCTGTTGGCCACCAGCTGGACCAGAGGAAGGGTATCTCCGGGTGGACTGGCAGAGGAAGCCTTGATGGGCAGCGTGAAGCTGCGGCCCACTCCCGGGGCTCGGCACGACCTCAGGTCCCAGGGGTCCCGGAGCTGCCCCGCTCCTCCCTGCAGCCTGCTTGCTCCGGCACGGCCATGCCAAGGCCCAGCTTCCCGATGCCTGAGCCCTGGAGGTTCCCTGTGGATGGAGGGGCAGGGCCTCTGCCCCAGTTTCAACAGCCCTTCTTAAACAGCTCAAAAATAAACCCAGGTTTAAGGAGCAGTTAGCCGAAGGTGAGGAACAGCATTGTAATTCTCTAAGCATTGTTTTCCTTTTCTGCATACAAGGTAAAAAGGGTACCCAGCATCTTTGTTGTTAAGTAAAAGTGGGTTTTATAATTTTTGTTCTTTTTTGCTCAATCCTTCCACACCCCCTGACCCCCAACCCCCTGAGAGCTGTCTGCCTGCTCTCTCTCTCTCTCTGAGTCTGTCTTTCTTTTGCTTATTAGTTCAGTTTGTTCATTAGATTCCACATATGAGTGAGATCATATGGTGCTTGTCTTTGTCTGGCTTATTTCACTTAGCATAATGCTCTCAAGGTCCATCCATGCTGTCGCAAAGGGTAAAATTTTCTTTTTTTATGGCCGAGTAGTATTCCATTGTGATTAAAAGCTCTTGTATAACCTATTTAGAAACAACCTTGTGAAGTAACCAACATTGTCTCCTAATTAACGGTAACATTGTAGCAGTGATAGAATCTGAGCGGCAGTGGTAACCGTGCCCCTAAAGCGAGGCCAGCCTTGTCCGAGGCCAGCACAGCGGCTATAGAGTGTCAGCCCTCGGACCAAACTCTTTCTGAAATTCAATGGAAAAAATACCCTTGGGTGAGGATTGGCAACAAAAGGCAATGCTAGCCTCACGCTTCTTGTATCTTGGCACTCAGACCTGCCTGATGCAGAGGCCACGGCCGATGTGGGTGTTCGGTTCGACCTGGATAATTGCTAACGTGGCAAAGTCAGCTGAGGACACCTCTTCCCCTCTTGTGAGCCTAAGGGATGGGTGCTGACAAAGGCTATTTGCTTGGTGAAGGCACCAGGCATATTGGTAGTTGCACTCGGAAGTCTCCCAACCACAGAGCCACCCAGTGTTGCTTTTTGTATGAGGCTCAAAGAAGAGAATGTTCTGTTGCCAGCGATTTACTCCTTCACTGTGGCGCCAATGAACAGGTAGAGAAGAGACAGAACGTGTAGAGGATGAGGAGAGTGGGAGTAGGAAGTGAAGCTCTTCCCTCCCCTCGGGGTTACGTCTGTGTGGTAGGATTAGTATATATGATAACATGTGTATTCAAGATGTGGGATGTAAAAAGAAATTTCAGTCAACCTTTATTGCCATCAAAGGAAAAACACTTTAAAACAAAATGCATCAAAAGACAAAGCTATTGGGACATTCCCCGGACCAGCGGAGTCATCTGCTTTGAGTGGGGTTTCTGCCATTCTTAAAAGGTATTTAGCACCAAAAAATAGATCACCCTTGAGATGCTCTCAAGGTTAGGGATAAGGGAATACCTTTAATCCCAGATCCGCACATCTCAAAATTTAACCTAAGATTAAGAAGAAATAAAGCCGCCCAACCAGTGTGGCTCAGTTGGTTGAGTGTCGTCCCATGAGTCTGGAGTTCACGGTTCAATTCCTGGTGAGGGGCACATGCTGTGTTACAGGCTTGATCCCGGTGAGGGGTGTGCAGGAGGCAGCCCATTGATGTTTCTCTCTCATCAATGTTTCTAGCTCTCTGTCCTTCTCCCTTCCTCTCTCTGAAATCAATAAAACCATTTTTTTTTAAAAAAAGAATAAAACCAAGCCCCTAGCTCCAAAAGCATTACCCCCACCCCTAAAAATGTTAATCACCAATTCTGAATTAAGGAACTGGGCCCATCAGCTATTTCTTGCATTAACACGAGGAATGATAGGCATTTTAACGTATGATACAGAGTAAAATCACGTGCAGAGTGGGGTCCCGTTGCCTCGCCGGAAACAAAAGGCTTATGGGCAGTTGGCACTCCTCACTCCATACATATTGCACCTGGCAAAACACAGCCCCCGCTGTCTTCACTAGAAAACAAACCTTCATTTATTGGGGGAGATCAATGCTTTCCTTTAGAGGGTCCAAGAAAACAGTTCATTAGACTTGAAGACTGCCATTGAGCCAGAAACAAACTTCCATTGCTCAGCAGACTGAGCCTCCTTTCACTGAGCAAAGGGAAGATGAACACCAGCCCCTTTCCTCTGTGTCATTTCCCATTTCCTGGATGTTTTATTACCCCAGAAGTGAGGTTAATCTAAGGGAGTCATGAGGTTTGAATTGAAACTGACTCGGGAGTGCACAGTTTAATGCAGAGATTTAATAATCGGCACAGGAACTGGGGACATCCTGCCCACTGGCTGCCCCTCCGACATGGGGGAGGGGGCAGTTCTCCTTAGCATCAGGTCGCTGAGATGATGGAGTCGCTCAGATATAAAAGACTATCGACAGTGTTTCATGAGAAGGGGGGCACATCACCTATTGTTTGTTCCTCTGGACCTGCTTTGCTTGACCCTATAATAAAACCCACTGCTAACCCAATTTTGTGCCCACCACTCACTCATTTGGAAGCTGAAAGAGTATGAGATAAATACAAAATGTAGTTCCATCCTAAATATCACAAGCCTTTTAAAGAATGGCAACACATGGAGAATAAAAGTTAACCGACAATAGCGTCTGCCGAGGTGAGCCCGTCAGGAGGGGAGGAAGGCCCTGGCTTCCCGGATCTTCTGCTTCACCCCCCGGCAGGACAGAACCAGCCCAGCGTGGTGGCGCTGCAGGTTTTCCAAGTGCTGCTGAAGCTGTTCGGTCCTGCCCACCTTCTCCTCCATGTCCCGGAGGAGAGACTCCTTGCCCAGGAGCCCACACCTCTGGTTCAGCTTGATGTTGTCGATCCGCAGGTTGTCTCGAGCTTGCTTCGTCTTGGTCAGGATGTCCCTCCTTAGGGCCACCTGAGCCTCGACCTCCAAAAGCTGCGCCTTTTTGCTCATATTTTCAATATCCACAAAGTGCAACTTTTCCTTCACGTGGGTGATGATTTGCACATTGTTGTTCACCTTGCCCTGCAGTTTCAAAAGCTCCTCGTTTCGCTCCTCCACTTTCTCATTGAAGGTCTGGTTCTCAATCTTCAGCTGCTCAAAGTCGATGAGGAGCAAGCCGTCGGACGTGTCCTCCTGGGTCCGCATCCTGGTTTCAAAATGCACGAGGCTCTGCTTCAGCTGCACGTTCTCCAGCCGCACGGCACTCATCTCCTTCTCCTTCTTGTCCTCCAGCGCCTGGATCTGCTCCACCTCCCGCAGGGCAGCCTGGCGACCGCCCCTCAGCCGACAGCTGCCCATGGCCTGCAGCACTACCTGCTTCTTGAGTGCCTGGAATCGTCGCCATTCCTTCTCCACGCTGGAGACCTTCTCCTTGCACTGCTGCTTCAGCTGGTCCAGCTCCTGGTGGTACCAGTCCAGGTCGTCGGCCTCCTGCTTCCTGAGCTCCTCCAGCAGGGCCAGATAGTGGAGGTAGGCTTCCTCCTTCTCGGGGGCCTCGGGCTCGGCGCCCTTCTCGGGCACCTCGGCCGCTTCCAGGCCCTTCTTCTTGCGCAGCGCCTCATAGATCTTGTGCTGCAGGTAGATGTTGTAGCGCTGGTAGTGGCTCCGCTCCACCCTCAGGGTGCGGTACTGCTCCAGGAGCTCGGAGCGCAGCTGCTGCTCCTGCTGCCTCTGCACCTCCTCAGTCCACTCCAACTCCGCATCCTTGAGTTCCTCGTCCAGCCCCTTCTCACTTCCTTCCACGCTCTTCCTCGCGCTCACCTCGCTCTCCACCACCTCCTCCTCCTCCTCCTCCAGCTCCTCGCGCTCAGCCTCCGGGACGAGTACAGCCTCCTCCTGGCTGGTCGCGGACCGCCGCACCGAAGCCTGCGACGAGGCTTTCTTACTCCTCGCCTCCTTGGGTGTCTCCGCCTCTTCCTCCTCGGGCGCCTCTTCTCTCTTCTCCTCCGGTTCCTCGGGCCCGGGCCCGCCTTCGGACCCCGGCTCGGCTGGCTCCTCGGTCGGCTTCTCAGGCTCAGGCTCGGCCTCGGCCTCGGCCGGCCGCTCCCGCTCTCCGGGCCCCTCAGCTTCGGTGGCCAACGGCCCTTCCCCGAGCTCGGCGAGCTCGGCCGGCTTGTCCGACTCGGCCGGCTCCGGGGGCTCGGCGGGCTCGACCGCGGCGGAAGTTCTCTCTGAAGTCTCTACGGCTATCGGCTCCGCGGGCTCGGCTGGGGACTGGGGGCCAGAGCTGGCCTTGACCCCGGACGGCCGCGGGGCCAGGCTCGCCACATCTCCGTGTTCCTTCTCCGAGTCCCTAGGCTGTTCCGAGTGGCCTTCCATCTTTCCCGGACTCGGCCCGCGCAGCTGAGCGCAGCTCCCGGCTGTTCGGTTTCCAGGGGCAACCAGGGGCGCTCGCGGTGGGCCCGGCGATTGGCCAGGCGTCCGACTGACGTCCCGCCCCTTCTCCCCGCCTTCCAGCAGATCAAAACCAATGGGAGGCCGCTGTCGGACGACCGGCGGCGTTGATGGGAGAGGGCG